TTCTTTAAAATGTAACTTTAACTTACAGCAATGAAATCACATTAATAACATCTACACAAACCATTATAATGCCAGAGTTTGTATTTATTAGTAGGTGAACTAGGAGCCACTTGTTTGGACATGGACAATCAATATCTCTGCACTAGTCTTTCCTTTTTGCTACACACCACAGCCCCTCAAGGTTGTTGAAAATTGGTAGTGGCATTTTTGATGCCTGATGCAGGCAGAAAACGCAGCGTAAGCTTACCATGCATTTAGAAAGAAAGGAAAATCGTCATAGAAAAGCACAACACTGAGCAGGAAATCCCATCTATTTCAACATTTGTTGAGTCCCAATTTTAGCAGAAAAAGCCCAAATAAGAAATCTGTCTTGGAGAAACTAGGTGGGTCCTTGTCCCTCTACCTGGGGTTATTTCTGTTGTTAGGCAAAGCAGCCCTTTCAGGAGAGGCAGCATTGCTGGGCAAGCCCATTGTGAAGGGGATGGGATGTTGATGTAATAATGGGTGTGTATCTGATTAATCTTGGAAGGTTGTGGTTTCTCTACAGTATATTGCAATTCCTTTGTTAGAGCTGCCTTTGGGGTGTGCTGAGAGCTGGTCAGGAGGTTTCTATCCTTTGGTATGGATAGTATTGCAGGGGGCTTTGTTTGTGGTTTGTGATGGAATTAGGCAAAGAGATGAACTGGGTTTCTCTGTCATCATGTGCAAAAGATAGAAAAAAGGGTGCACCCTTCATTTTCTTTGTTAGATCTACTTTCTTCAATACACAAACATCTTCTCCGCAATGCAAAATAAACATCATCATCATCCTGTTAGTTACATCATCAATATACCCAGTGCAGCCCTCAGTTCTCAATGTAGTTTTCAACAACTGCAATAGATCAAGGGAACAGGATCAAACAATTCTTTGGGTGTTGCTTAACTCGAGCTTCTGGTGTTTTTGGCAGGGGCTGAATTGGCTAAGGCAGTGATGGCGAACCTTTTAGAGACCGAGTGCCCAAACTGCAACCCAAAACTCACTTATTTATCGCCGGGTGCCAGGTGGGTGTGGCTGGGTGTGGCTGGGTGGTCATGGCAGATTGGGTGGGAGTGGCCAAGGTGGGCATGATCACCTCGATGTTGCTTGTGGGGAGGGATGCCTGTGGGGACCAGGCAGGCTTGGGGGAGATCCAGGTGGTCTCTGCCAGGTGGGCGGTGGGCAGGAGACTCATCCTGCGGGGTGAGGTGAGGCAAGGCAAGGCAGGGCCGGAGTGCCATTGTCACAGGGCAAGGTGTGGCAGGGGTAGGGGCAGCTGCTACCTGACACCATCGACTTCTGCACACAGAGGCCAGCGAGCGCATGGATGCTGGGATGCATCTGGCCATATGGGACCTTGGCGAGTTAGCAGGTGGTTGATTTAAGAGGGACGGTTGCCATCTCCAGGGCATGGCCTGTGTGCCCACAGAGAGGGCTCTGAGTGCTGCCTCTGGCATGTGTGCCATAGGTTCGCCACCACCGGGCTAAGGTTTCATTGGCCAAGGTTGTATCTAGAGGCATTTATGACCCATATCAGCTATTGCATGGCATAGAATTTCACTGTAAAATAAAATGGGATAGGAAAGCTTCGCTGATTGATTTATTGAACCTATTGGTGCCAAGAAGTAGAAGAAATTCTCCCTGAGTAGTGTGGCAGGTGAAAGAAAATAAATAATAACTTAAGTAGAAAAGTGAGAGGGGAGGAGACTATTTGACTGAGCAGAAGCAGAAAGAGGATCTGAAGGCAAGGAAGGAAAGGATTGCAGATAGTATCAGGGAAGAGCTGAACGGGTCACAGAGGAATATTCTTCTGTGCTACAGTAGATCAGTAAGAATTACTATCTTTATTGCAACCAGGTACATGGAAAAAGATGTAACTACAGCACAATAAACACAATAGGTACTAAACTTAAAGAATAAATGCCTTTTGAAAATGACCACATTTGACTGTTCTTGTTGTAGAATAATACCAAACTATATTGTTGTATGAATGGACCTACTTGGCCAGCAACTCCATCATACATGAACAAAAAGGTGTTATTTGGGGACAGAGCAAAGGCAGTAAGCAGCTATAGCAGCAGCTTTCTCTTTAAGGGAGTCCTGCTTTCTAGATTTGTGACTCTTTAAGCAAGCAATAATTTACTTCAAAGCTTTCATGATATACGACAGAAGAGAAAGAAACCTAATGGCCATAAACAAAATGTTTGACTTGCTGGGCAACCCATGCAAAGGCCTTCTTAACTTTTATAGTTTCAATCTGCTGTTGGAACTGGCTTTCAAACATGAATGTATGTGTTTATATATATGTATCTTTCTTATACTTTCTTCTTCTCTACATAGCATCTAGCTAAGGAATCTTTTGTGAGACCCTGAACTATGAGTGCCCCCAGGAATGAGACATTAGTTGGCTAGGTCACACTGTTTCAGTATTTCATTACTTCAGGATATCATAAATCATTTTATGTTTTCATTTCATTATCTATCTGTTAACCGTTGACTAAAGGAAATTGCTGAAACCAAACAGTTGCACATGCCTTCTGGAATTCTTCACCACCCTAGCATATTTCCAGAAATATTTTGAAATTAAGGCAAATGTATGTGTCTTAGGATAATGTTGCAGATAATGTTGTTTATACAGAGAATTCCCTGAGGATGGGCTCCAGCATGAGTCCGAAACCTCAGAAGACAAAATCTTTTGTCCCACTGGCCCACTCAGATTGGATCCTACTTTAAAACTGATGAAACAAAATCATGGAAGAAAGAGTATCCCTCTTTCAATACAGAACAGTTGTTTTCTGTATTGATACTAGTGAGTGACACTGTTATTTTGATATGGTGAAGTCATTCATTCATTCTTAAATTAATAATAGCACGCCTACTTACATGTCCAGCAAACATAACCACACTGTCTTTCTTCTTTTATATATTTTTCTTCCTGAATATGGCATTAGAACTTGAGAAAACCCAGTGGAGCTAAATAGAATTCTATTTTATGTCCTGCTGTATCCACAAACACAGATCTTATAGCCAAAGAACAAATCAATAAAATTATATAGTTATGTTGTCTCCCTTAAAATAAACCCCTTCATACCAGTTCCCTTCTTCTCAAAATATGATGTGAAAAGATAAGTTTTGAAGACTGATTTTCTTGCCAGCAGATGGAAACTCTATAGATAATTGTGAGCCTTGGGAAACATTTATTAAGTGCCAAGTATTATGAAAGTAAGTAGCATACAAATATTGAAAATAAATACATAAATAAATAAATAATAAACAAACAAGAGGATGGAGAGAAATGTACTTTTAGACTTGCAAGATTCTGTTAATATATACAATAAAGTAGAATTAACTCATCTGGTTGTGTTTCCTGTCTGGTCTATCTAGTAAAACCAACACTTCCTGCTTCCTTTTTGTCAATTACTGGAGGTATACATGATCCATAAGAGGCAAAACTAGGGCAGCAATATTCAAAATGCTTGATATTCAAAAATGCAATGGGTGTCTCAACCTTCAACCCAATAACTAGTATGAGACAGTGGTTCACAAGTTGGACTAGAAAGTCTGAGGAGCTTCCAGTCAAAAATTAAAACAATATCAAAACCGTCGGAAATCTATAAAAACCAAACTTTTAAAATCATTATATGTGTTAGTCATTACCTCTTACTTCATGCCACCCCACAGGATCATGGTTGTGGAAAAATATGGTGAGGCGTGGAAATATACATTCAATTCAGATCTGAATCAGCCAACAGTGCTTTAAATGCTAACCAGGCATTCCTTCTTTACTGGCTGGCTTAAAGAAACAGTGCCTTTTCTGGGACTTATTTCAGAGCTATTCCGGAAGATACATATATGAGTGAAAGAGACATTAAGGGAGAGTTGTGACTCTTATGATTCTATAGGAACATTTAGAATTGAGGAAGGAAATTAATGGTGAGCCAATAAACAGGTTACAAGAGTGATATGACTGACCACAACACCCATTTCCTGTCCATGCTGCACCAGTTATATTTCTGCAGTTTCAACTGATATCTAATTATAGGAAGAGAGTATTTCTTTGAGGAATTGTTGGAAGCATTTTATAAATATATTCACTATGTTTTTTTAATGAACTGCTTCTACATCACCAGATCATCTACACTTCTCTTTACTCAATTACCTCAGTTTAGTATATCTGACTCTGATGGTATATACACTTTTTGAGCGACAGGACTGAGATTTTGCTTCAGACATTAAGTGGGACCGACGTTCCCCTTCTCAAAGCCAGAGAGATCTTTTTCAAGCATATCAAACTATCCACAGTTCTCCACAGGTTCTAGCTTCTAAATTTTAAACTCCATTTCTAGACAACAAAGGGGTAACCCCGGGAGAATGTCACCATTCATTTTGTGAATGTGCTCATACATACACGCTTCTTTTGTGTTCAGGGTAAGAATAGTCCCAAAGCTGTGGTGAGCCAAGAAGCCCGAGTCACTGAGTATTCTTTCCCTGGTCTTCCTGCAGCATTCCCACAACTCATACATGGTCTATGCTGGGCCTCCCCCACCTGCTGCGGGAACCCCATGCTCCTTATGTGGGACTCCCTCTGCTTCCCACTTAATGACCCATGCATCTTACAACAGCAACCATACATGCCAAAATTGCGGTCACCAAGCAATATGGTCACAGAACCTGATGCTTTACAACTGCATTGAAATTCCAGTCCCAGCTGTAGTCATAAGTCAAGGACTACCTGTACAGCCAATGCAAAGGAGACTAGGAATTATGATTCAGCAATGTCTGGAAGTTCTTTGGTTTATTGTCCTCCATCTACTACTGTTCTGGTCAAATTGTGGATGTTAGAGCCTACAGTGAAAGTCCAAGGGGAAGTGGGGAGGATAACAGGCCAAATAGGCAAGACCTAGATTGAGGACAAGGATTGTTTCTTTAGAAGAGTTTTGAAAGTGCAGAAATAAATATGAATAACAGTAAACCTGAGACTATGTCATGTACTGTATATGTTTATTCAGATATTATTGTAGTTTTACACTCAAGAGATCACAAAATATATTTAGCTTAGACAGAGAGCAGAATCAGAATAAAACTAACTCGATTTTTAGTTATGAATGGAAGACAAAGCAGCTTACTGTGTACTCAAGTTTAAATTTCATAATCAGAAATCGGAAAATGCCTTAAGCAAGTCATCCACTGAAGCTAATACATTCAGAAGCAACAACAAGGTTATTAGCGGGTTTTACTGCACTCTTCAATTGAAACCATTGGTTTCTTCTGTTTTTATTGAACAGAATGTATATCTCACATTTCTTCCATCACAGATCTATTGTACACATATTAATATTAGCTAATTAATTATTGGGACATTGATGAGATCCAGGCCTGCTTTATGAGATTTCAAAATTTATATGGGATATTTCTATTTTTTTTTAAAGTATACATTATCAAACTCAAAGAGGTTCCAAGGTTCTCTGCTTGAGGCTTAATTTGTGGGAGTTGGTTTTAGGAGTCACTAACTCCCTTGTCCCCGTTTCCTTTGCTTCCTGTATGTCAAGCTCCCTATAGTTAAGGGCTCTGTGTCACAAGGAACATTCAGATTTGTATTCTTTGGATTCTACACACATGTCAATGTAAAGGGGATTTTTACCTCAGCAGGCAAATAAAAACTGTATCTCACAATTTGCTCTTTCTTAAGAGAGGAAATAATTTGTTAGCCAAGTTGAGAATGGAATTTGGAATGCAGAAGTCTTGGTCACTTACAACAGATGGAAATATATTTTTTAATGTAGCAGCACCTGTTATTTATGGTGAAAAAAATTTGCCAGCAAAAAGAATACACTTGGTGGAATTATGTTTTATAATAAACAATATGGGGCGATTCACATTAAACTTAGGAATAGTTTGTGCACTTGTAGGAACTGTAACTACATCAGTAGCAGCAGCTGCTTCGGTACCTTCTTCGTTCACTTCAATACAGGCTTTATGACGGAACTCAGATACGACCAGGTCCGGACTCTCAGATATGCCAGATAAATCAGCTTTGTGTGCAATAAACACATCCTTAATTCCCATCTTTTTTAAAGTTGGAATGAGCGCATATTCTTCTTCCACCTTGAATTTTGGCAGAAAAATCGTAATCTTTGTGACCTGCATGCTTGTTGAACTGGTCCATTCCTGAAATTTTTCATAACTGAGTTGCTTCACAATCTGTCAGTTAAAAGGGAGACATGAGTGAAAAATTTATTGGGAAAAAGGGATCGAGAAAGACCAAAGTATGATTTCTTGTTGCTTCCTATTGCAGCATTATTCCTTCAGAATAAACATTTTCAGAATAAATAAATAGCAAATATATCTGCAAAAAATATTACTTTCTTTAAAAAAAAATTTTCAGGATAGTTTTAATGAAGGGAAAGAAGGGAGGTTAAAGACACTTAGCAGTACATACCCATATCAAGGCTAAAATGAATATCTTAGCTCTGGAATCTTTATTGCATTGCCCAGGGATGGAAAATCTGCTTCAAAACCAGGGTTGAACATCTATAGGAGCAAGCCAAACTCCGAAATTGAAGAATCCCTGCCCTAGTTGCTTTCTTTCTTACTGAAGTTTGGGAGGCCAAGAATTGCCTACATCTGTTTGGAATTTGTCACAGAGTGGTTTTTTTAAAAAAAAACATTTTTTTTTCTTAAACTCCATTCAAAATATGAGAAAAATAGGGAAAAATCGTAATTAACATTTGAGAGCCTCTTAAGAATATATGATCAAAGGCTTTTCTTAGCATTAAAAATATTCAAAAGACATCTCTTTCTAAATGATTTCAGAATTCAAATTACCTCTTGTGTAGTCCCATTCTTGTCTGGTAGAAATATGTACATGCTTAGGATTCCCTTATCATAGGGAAACTCAAGCACTTCCATCGGTGGGTTTGTTATTTTAGCATAGTTAAATCTGCCCGTTTGAGCCATCATTTGCACTTTTTTGCTCTGCTCCTATAACACATAAAGCAATGCTTACCATAATGCAATAACAATATGAGAAATCATAACATAAAATGTTGACTGTAATCGCCAGCTATAATGTAAGATTTCCATTTTCAGACCCTATTGGTGCAGGAAGAAGCTCATTGTATAAGCAAGGATTTTATGTTTCCATGGTGTTCAATAAAGTGGTTATTTTTAGCTGTTTAATTCAATTGTGCAGCAATTGATATATTTCCATTCTCTTGGGTTCTTCAGATACTATATACCTTACTAGTCCAAAAGTCTGCTTCATGTGTCTCCTTGGAGTTAAACTGACACTTCCACTTTCCTTTGAAATATATAGCATTTACCAAGATCATTGCAGTGTTTTTGCCAATCGAGTGAGGAGCAAACAGTTCCTTGATTTTACCTTTTCAAAAAGTAAAAACATTAAAAATGTTAGTGGAAGATGTCAGCAATACACTTCTTTCCACAATGCATTTTTCTGAGTAAGAATACTGAAAAAAAAATTAAAATACCAATATAATCCAAACCCATTAAAGGAAATAAAGAATGAATGAAAGACTAAAACAAGCTGAAATCTTTTCTACCTTCATACATGATGGGTACAAAACCTTCATCCTAAAATTATAGAATCAGTGACATTTCTGACCGCGTGGAAGCAGAAAAATACAACTTTGGATACACAGTGGATCAGGAAAAACTCCAGGTTTTGCGCTTCTCCAGAGAATCAGATTTTTTGTTTGTTTGTTTGTGTGTTTCTGCATTACATCAGGAATATTAATTGATTTTTCTTGGCTATGCAAATGAGCATGTGGGGTAGCACTGGCTAAAATATCTTTTTTAAAAAATAAGAACCACACACAAATTCAGAAATGACATCTTGACTTTGAGAAACGTACATGTTGTAGAGGCATGGAGCAACTACATGATCATATGCAATCTTCATGATGCAATATTCAAGGACTAAATATTCTGCTTTTCTGCCATTCACTGTGGGAAATCCAGTGAGCCTTCCTAACTGACCAATGGCAACGAAAATGAAGATTTTACTGGGAATGATAGATGGGAAGTTTAACAAAGGAGAGACATATCTAGTGTTGCATATCATAACAGCAGCAAGATTGGTGTATGCCCAGAATTGGAAAAACGGAAATTCCCCGCTGGAGAGTGAACTAATTAGAAAATTTTTGAGATGTGCAGAGAGGGATAGATTATCCTTAGAAATTAAAGATAAGGATGAAACAGAATATTACGAAGTTTGGGATAAGATGTACTATTGGTTAGACTCGAGAAAAAGTCAGAACAAAGAAAGCTCGTTTAGAAGAGAGAAAGGGTAGATTTCCAACCTCAAAGTGAGCGTAAGATAGAGATCAGAATATGAAATAAGAATGGAAATGGAAGTTATGTTATAAATAGACGTAAATATGTAAGTAAATATATAAATATGTAAATAGTATAAAATGCAATATGTAAATGGTACAATAGATCAATGACTAGGAAGATATATGGTATATGGTATAGTATGTATGGCAAAATAACAGCCAGAAAAGTCACACTGTGTTCAACCTGTTTTTAAATGTATACTTAATAAAAAGAAAAAGAAAAAAAAAGGAAAAAAATGAAGATTAACCAATGCATTCTTACCATTTGTTTGGCTTTCAACCCAGGAATTAATTTTCTTTCTAGTTTCCTCAACATTCACAAAATCAACTCTTTCTAATTCTGCATGATAAAGCTCTTTAGTGCACTCTGTGAATTGCTGCACAGATTGAAAGAGAACATATCAATATGTTAATTCCCTTATCACCATCATCCTATACACCCAGTCAGCAATTGTAGTTGGTACTGGATATTTACCAGATTGGATGGCAGTACCTAACCAACTTTGACTGACCCCCCCAAAATTAATTAAGATCAGAATCAGTAGGGTATGCTGGGAAGTTGGAAACCATCTCAGAGAAACTATATTGTTGTTTAGAAAAATTGCATAGATGGCAGTTGTATGTAGCTCAAAGAAAACATCATTGTTAATGTGATTCCTCTTTTGACTACCCACTATTTTAACTATTTAATAATGTAAATATGTAAATTTTCATGGGAAAGGAAAGGAAAGCAAGATTTTGTTCAGTTACTCCACCCATCTACTTTGACTATCTGTGCCTACTTCTAAGGATGGAGAAATAAATCTTACTTGCGCCCTTAATAGGTCAGAATTCCACATAGAGTGAAAGGGATGGGGAGATTCTTGCTCACCTGGAGAAATTCATAAATGTCCGATCCATACAGCCGGTTGGCTATGCTCAATGTATAGTTTTTAGCAGGTTGGTTAATGGCTGATAGGAGTTCCTTGAACTGGTTGTGAAGTCCACCAGGTTTGTCACACTGAGCCTTCAAGAATCAAAGGACGGTAATATTTCTATATATCTGACCTATTTAATCCCACCCATCCCCTCCCGCCCTTCCCCCCCCCCCGCTTCCCAGAGCAAAATACAGGGTTATTGTAAACAAAACAAACACAAGCTATAACTTTTAAAACAAAAAAATTATATAATAAACAAATTCATACTTAACCCTTAACTCCCTCTAAACTTTAAAAATAATAATATAAACTAATCAACTATAAATCAAATATTATAAAATTCTATATATAATAATTATTACATCAAGAAAAATTAATCATAAAATAAATGGAACTTTAAAGTTCCATATTTATTCTGAATATAATCTATCCACCTTCTCCACACTATAATAAATTTTTCTTGTGTATGGTCCTTTAAATAAGCAGAAATCTTTGCCATTTCCGCTAAAGTAGAAACCTTAAGTACCCATTCTTCTAAAGTAGGCAGCGAATCCTGCTTCCAATATAAACCTACAAGTAAGCTTGCTGCAATTATTAGATTCAACATTAAAATAGTTTCATTAACATCTAACTCCATAAAAAAACCCAATAAAAATAATTGAGAAGTAAACTTTATCTTCTTTTTAAAAATCTTTTGAATGTTCCACCAAATCATTATCCAAAAAGCTTTAACCTTCTTACAGGTCCACCAAACATGAAAGTAAGTTGCATCAGTACTACCACACCTCCAACATTTGGGGCTGTAAGTTAGGATACATACAAGACAAGTTTTTGGGATCCAAATGCCACCTATAAAACATTTTGTAAAAATTTTCCCTCAAATTTTGGGCCTGTGTAAATTTAACATTTCTAATCCAAATATTCTCCCATTGATCCAATAAGATCGGTTCCTGGATATTTTGAGCCCATTTAATCATATAATCTTTTACTAACTCTGTTTCCGAATCCAATTTTATTAACTCATCATAGATTCTTTTAATATGAGCATGATTCTGATCTTTAATCTGAACAATCAGATTTTCATCTCCTAATGTTATTCTAACTTTCTTATGTACTGTCCACCTATCCACAATTTGTGCGTAATGAAACCATGAGTATAAAATGTTTTCTTGTCTTAATACGTCTAAAGATTTTAACTGCCAATCTTTACCTGACCAAATTAATAACTCCTTATACGAAATTTTATCAAAATTCATCCCCTTAGAAACACCCTCAATTACATGTCCAGGAATCCTCCAAAGAGGTATTTTATAATTTAACCTATAATAATACTTCTTCCAAACTCGAAGAAAAGCATTCCTTAAAATATGTAATTTAAAAGCCCAATCAACTTTCTTATTAAAAATCAAATATGGATGCCAACCATATAGTAAATCCCATCCTTCAAAAAAAAGAACATCTTTATTTATTAAATTAAGCCAATCACTTATCAAGGTTAAGGTGGCTGCATCATAATTTCAAATTGGGTGCTTTAAGCCCACCTCTTTCTCGGGCATCCTGCAAAATCTTAAACTTTACCCTTGGTTTTTTCCCAGTCCAGATAAATTTATTAATACCCTTTTGCCATCATCCAAATTTGCATCTTTTTTTAGAATAGGTAACATTTGAAACAAAAAAAGAAACTTTGGTAGAACATTCATTTTTACCAGTGTGTGTGTGTGTGTGTGTGTGTGTGTGCGCGCGCCCATGCGTGCATATGTACTGTACTGTATATATATATATATGTGTGTGTATACATATGTGTTTGTATGTGTGTGTAGAATTAGGGATAAAATGAAATTTAATGAAAAGTCTCTTACAAGCCCGTTTGTAGACATCCTGGATCCTGTGATTTTATCAAAATGAAGGACCTGCAATACAAAATAGATGGGAGGTTGTGATCTGTGTCACCATATCATCATTCAGTTTCCTTGGAAGTTCCTAGATGAACTTGAAAGGGACTGTTTTTAAGAGTAATTGAGTTCTAATAGATACCACACATAGGCCAACATTCTTCCACATGATATTTCCAAATGTTTGGGTCACAATCTCTACCACCCCAATTAATCTGACTTATCATTTAGCATTTAGAGGTTGGGGAGTGGAGTCCAGTCCAAGTCATCTGAGGACAAGAATTATGATTTTTATTTTTCTGATTTTTTTTTAAATGACACTTCAGTCTGTCAATTAAAGTTATGAGTTCTGGATGCACTTTCACTTTAAGAACTTCTCAATTTCTTTATTACTAACTCTCAAACTTCTCTGGACAGATTCTTATTTAGGAAAGCATGTATGCTCTCTTTAATCCTTAAAGAAGATTTATTATCTGACATGATGGACAGGATGGTGTCATCCCACAATTACTATACAGGAAATATTCTTACGTTACTTTAGCACTGCTGATGCTGTAGCATCTTTTGTTGTGACTGAAAAACAGACAAGTTTAGAAATTACAGAGATTGGTTTGTAGCACACCAAGCTCTCTTTTCCAGCTTCTGTCTATACACCTTGTCTCTTATTATTTTCTGCCCTAGTAATCTTAAATATGTGTATCTATCTCTGCTCCATTAAGAAAGCAGTAATAATTTTCCAATGACAGCTTTTGAAAACTGTCCTTCTGTGTTACTTTTTTTAGCTGGATTGTTCTTTTGCTTACAATATATCTTTTTATGCCACATTGCATCACCCGCAGGCAACTGGACATTGTTTTTCCTTGAAGACGTGAACTGAAGAAGCTTTTTGGATGAGAAGCAAAACATCTTCAAGAGGGGGAAAAAAAGCTCCAGTTGCCTTTTGAAAAAGCACCTTTGGGACAACCCTGACCTGGATAACTGAGAATCTCCATAGACGCATTGCATCACCTTACACCACAGTGCACTATATTCTCGAATAATGGTTTTCCTATTGCAAAAAAATACATAGCTTTTCTTACACTTTACTGGATGGACTTTCTCAGGCTCTATATACAGTACAGTTTAAGAATTTGTTGTATGAAAAGGAGTCTTGGAAAATGCAGTTGGGATGTGGCCGTGACCAAGGAACAATTCTACATAATTCAGATCAGAATTTTAACTTCAGATGCTCAAAGGGAAAGTCATCAGTAGAAAATACTTCCTGATTATCATGATTCCTACCTTTTCTATTTCAAGAGCAGTGTTACCCCTAGCACCAAATAGGACCATAGCTAAAGCTTCTACGAAACTAAATGGAGAGAAAAAGGTGATTCTATTGGATCGCTCTTCTTCCATGCTTTTAAAGAAGTCCATAGAAAATCTGTTGTTTGCTTCAACAAGGCTGTCCATGGTGGAAATAGTACCTAGAAAAATTTGAAATCATTGTTAAGGTTTTTATAACTTAATTTATTATTTCTTAAAGCTACTAAATCTTGGCTGAATGATTGAATAGGAAAAGAAAAAAACTAATTAGCCAATAGTGCTGTTTTCTCACTGCAGAAATAGAAAACTGTGATTTCAAAGAATTTTTGTATGGCTTAGCACAATGAGTGACCTCAGCCAATTGAGAATTATATTCATCTGTTGTCACACTTAGTTGTAAAATAAGGTTATATGGATGAATCTTGAAGTTACACACCATGGTTCTTGTATTTGGTGTTATTGATATAAAGGAGAGATTTGAAGCATTCAGCTCTAAACACAATTTGCATCTGAAGCATTCAGCACTCTTTTGCACAATCACAATTTGTCATTAGGTTTAAACTAGCAAGCTACCACTTGTTTAAACCCTTTTTATCTTTCAAAAGATACTTTATTTCTTGCAAATTTTATTAGTAAATCATAGCTGATGGTACAACTATTCTTCCAAAAGTTTAAAAAGGATTTTTGTTAAAAAAAAAAATTGATCCTGCTCACTGTAGGATTGCTGTGAAATTGAAGATGTAATTTTTGTCTTACTATAATGTGAGTTCTAGGAAGAATCACATTACCTATTGCTGAGTGCTCCATAATTCATGGGTCTGCAATCGCACCATTTTTTCCCATTGGAGCAGTTTATACTCAAGTAACATTCAAGTCAAGTCAAGCCAGTCAATCAATCAATCAATCAATCAATCATGCCATGTATTTTCTCACTTACTTCATCTTTTACTTTATATATATATATATATATATATATATATATATATATATATATATATATATACACACACACACACACACACACACACACACATACATACATATGTATGTGTGTGGATGTCACCACACTCACGAAAACCACACAGGATGTCACCACTACACATCCACGCAAAAACAAACCCAAACCCACACCGATGATGAGGCACGACCATAAACCAGAAGCCAGACCACAGCGGCATCATTAGCCACTTTAGACCCCTCCAATCCATACATGAAGCAAACTGACACCCACCATGAAGATGAGGCACGACCACGAACGCGAAGCCAAACAATAGCAATGCAGCTCACCATCTCACATCCCCCTGGAACTCAGACTAACCTGAGCACAACAAAGCCCCCACCCAAACAGAACACTACCCCTACCAATCAGAGCACAGCCAACCCCCTGTTCAATCAGAGCACAGCCAAGCTCCTAACCAATCAAAACACACCTCCACCCAATCAGAACACAGCCAAGCTCTCACCCAATCAGTTCATACCCCCACTGGCAGTTAAAAGGAAGAAACAGCTACGATCACACATTGCTCCTAGAAGCACGAAGCCGAAAACACCAGCCTGAAGATGACAAATGAGACTTCATCGAAACGTTGCCAAGACACTTCCAATTTGACGCGGGAGAAAACCCGAATAACCAAAGACCTACACACACACACACACACACACACACACACACACACACACACAGATGTAGAAATAATAGGATTTCAAAAGTTCTTTTTTTATATTTTTCATGTCACTATGAATTTTGGTTGAATAATCCAGGATATTATTTGTAAGTTGTGCAACTTTTTCTTGGGGAAGGTTAGCTAACTTCCCAAACAGTAATGCATTATTTTGTTTTGGCTTTTTGAAACTCTTCCTTTTGTGACCACATCCTGAATTATAAAGGAAGGGCAAATCAGCATGCACACTTGCCTTGCTAAAGACCCAAGCACATAACAATTTGGTTTATTGTCAAGAAAGGAAATGTATTGAAATACATATATATATATTCATTAATACCAAGAAAGGAAATGTATTGAAAAACACGTTAAAATGCCAACAGATATGGGTCTGAAATATGCTGTCAACAGTGCACATAGTGAAATGTTGGAACATTTTCATTTTAGTATTTAAATACTAAAATCAGCATGCACACTTGCCTTGCTAAAGACCCAAGCACATAACAATTTGGTTTATTGTCAACTTTATCCAACAGAACATTTTGAAATTTAGGAACGCAATGGTTGAATCCACCAAATCTTTATAAAACTATGAGGATTACCTTCAAGACCTTATATATTGAGCACCATGCTCAACAGTAGTAACTGTGAGAGGGACCTCGGAGTCCTAGTAGACAATCACTTAAATATGAGCCAGCAGTGTGCGGCAGCTGCCAAAAAGGCCAACACAGTGCTAGGCTGCATTAACAGAGGGATAGAATCAAGATCACGTGAAGTATTAATACCACTCTTCAATGCCTTGGTAAGGCCACACTTGGAATACTGCATCCAGTTTTGGTCACCACGATGTAAAAAAGATGTTGAGTCTCTAGAAAGAGTACAGAGAAGGGCAACAAAGATGATTAGGGGACTGGAGGCTAAAACATATAAGGAACGGTTGCGAGAATTGGGTATGTCTAGTTTAACGAAGAGAAGGACAAGTGGGGACATGATAGCAGTATTCCAATATCTCAGGGGCTGCCATAAAGAAGAGGGAATTAAGCTATTTTCCAAAGCACCTGAAGGCAGGACAAGAAGCAACGGGTGGAAACTAATCAAGGAGAGAAGCAACCTAGAACTAAGGAGAAACTTCCTGACAGTGAGAACAATTAATCAGTGGAACAGCTGCCTCCAGAAGCAGTAAATGCTCCAACACTGGAAGTTTTTAAGAAGAGACTGGACAGCCATTTGTCCGAAATGGTGTAGGGTTTCCTGCCTGAGCAGGGGGTTGGACTAGATGACCTCCAAGGTCCCTTCCAACTTTATTACTATATATATATATATATATATATATATATATATATATATATATATATATATATATATATATATTTACCTTGAATGAGAGAACCCGTGGCTTAGAGGTTATAACATCTGCCTAACATGCAGATAGCCCAGGTTCGAATCTCAGAAGAGTAAGTTTGGCTGATGAGGGTTAAAGGAACCCGAAATAGCTATACCATTCTCTCTTTATTCTTTGTTAGCAAAACCTAAAAACCTAAATATATATATATATATATATATATATATATATATATATATATACACACATACATATTCATTAATATCAAGAAAGGAAATGTATTGAAATACATATATATATATATATTCATTAATACCAAGAAAGGAAATGTATTGAAAAACACTTTAAAATGCCAACAGATATGGGTCTGAAATATGCTGTCAACAGTGCACATAGTGAAATGTTGGAACATTTTCATTTTAGTATTTAAATACTTTTACATCATGCAATCAGTTTACAACCATCTTAGATAAGGCAAGAAAACTTTAGCTTAATTTCCCATTTTGTCTAAACTAAAAAACAAGATAGCCTATCTAGACCAAGATTATTTTCAACTATCTTCAAGTCACAATTTAATATTCTGGATTACTACAAAGCTGGCAATTCCATTTTCCCAGTTGCAATGAACTAAGTGCTAAGGCAGGACTTTCTCCAGACCCTCCTTCCCTCCCTCTTATTCCAATCTCCTTCCTTCCTTCCTTCCTTCCTTCCTTCCTTCCTTCCTTCCTTCCTTCCTTCCTTCCTTCCTTCCTTCCTTTCTCTTCCCTTCCCTTCCCTTCCTTTCTTCTCTCCTTTCTTTCTTTCTTTCTTTCTTTCTTTCTTTCTTTCTTTCTTTCTTTCTTTCTTTCTTTCTTTCCTTCCTTCCTTCCTTCTTCCCTCCTTTCCTTCCCTGCCTCCCTCCTTTTCATTCCCATCTCCTTCCTTCCTTCCCTTTCTTTCTTCCTGTTTCCCTCCCTTCCCCCTTCCTTCCTTCCTTCCTTCCTTCCTTCCTTCCTTCCTTCCTTCCTTCCTTCCTTCCTTCCTTCCTTCCTTCCGTGCCCAGGAAGGGATGAGGGGAGGGGGAGAGATTGGCAGCACTTCTCTCAAAGAAAAAGAGTTGGAAGAGACCTTTGAGGTCTTTAGTCCAAGCCCAGGCCTGCTCAACCAGGGGACCTATACCATTCCAGACATTGGAATATCCAATCTCTACTTAAAAGCCTCCAGTGATGGAGTATCCACAACTTCTGAAGGCAAGCCTTTTCACTGGTTAGGTGTTTTCACAAGTCCTTAGTTTTAGGCTTGATTAGTTTCCATCTATTATTGCCTTCTGATGCTTTGGAAAATAGGTTGACCACTTCTTCTCGGTGGTCACTTCTTCTTCTCCATCAAATATTGCAACGTTGGTTATCATGTCACCACTCCTAGTCCTTTTCACTAAGCTAGACATACCCACAAACATTTGTCATATGTTTTAGCCTCCAGCCCCCTAATCATCTATGTTTACCATCCATTTAGACCAGATCCCCCCCCCTGGTTGGGATTATAGAACAGTGGCCACGAGCAGAGCCTTCTCAGAGACAGCACACCAATTATAGAAATTTCTCCCAAGGAAAATATGAACAGTGCATCCCTCACCCGTTTAGCGGCAACTCCAAACACACTGTTCAGCCAGGCATATGTAGAATAATAATACATTTTATGGTCAAACAGCACTAAGTAAATTACTACTAATATTTTTCTTTCTTAAAATACACACTTTTAATATTGTTTTAAGCAGTGCTAGTGACGCTTTACAATAGTTGTCTTTGAGAGTTTTCTTGTAAACCACCCTGGATTTCTCAGAAACTTTTAATTTCAGATTAGATGTTGATTTAATAAATTAGGCAGAAGAAACAAATGTTTACATACATCTAAATCCCACAGACCTATTGCCTTCTAGGCTCATACTACAGAGAAAATAAGGCATTGCATTTCTAGCCAGCATAGCCACAGGATGATGGGAACTGTGGTTCATGACACCCAAAAGATGTTACGGTAGTTTGGGCAAGGCTGGATTAAATTATAAAAGAGCAGATGGGGGGAAGTAGGAACAAGAAACGCTTTCCACATCTCTGATAAAATAATTGGGGGGGGGGAGTTGACTCGACCTTTTAATTTCAACTCACACCAATTCTTCTTAACTTCCCATTCAATCCAAAGAGTTCTATTATTGCCTGGATTTTAGGGAGGGGAGGAGCAAGAATAGACCATAAAGCCAATCTGTGAGTTTGCTCTCTCTCCAGCCTGCACACCACCTTCCCCATGCAGCACATGTGTGTATGTGTCTGAGAGACAGAGAGAGAGAGAGAGATCTCCCTTTTTTTTGTAAGTTTGCTTACTCTGCAATGCTCCCTGTTCTCTACACCTTTGCTTACCTACTTTGTCCTTCCTGCTTTCTCCTTCGTGCTTTCTCCTTCTTCTCAACCTTTCTCTCCAGCCACCACAGAGTTTCACATTGCCAGCCACAGGCAATTCCAGGCTGTGGCTCTGCATGACTGCTGCATTCCCCTCTCTGGCCCTATCACGGGGTGGAGAGGGCGATTGGGAGCCGGCTGATTCTCGGCTTATGCCACTGTGCACTCACATCTCCACACCTTTCATCTCACAGGCTGGCATGCTCTGGGGTGTTAGGCTTAGAGAACGCCATGGCCCAAGCGAGGAAAGGTGTGGCACAGTGTGGCAAAGCAGAGCCATATAAGGAGAAGCCTGGCAAAGTGGGGGAGGTGGCTGGGCGTGACGGGGTTAAGCTGGGAGGGGCGGGGTGGCCTGAGGCAAATGAGCTGCAGCGGCTGCTGCACACCACCAGCCCCTGAGCATTTACTGCTTCCTGTGGGTGCGCCAGGGCGCCCAATTGGGTTGGGGTGGTCCAGGGCTAGGGAAGTGGGGGCCGGTCCCTTGCCCTTTCTGGGAAAGCCCTGGAGGGCCAAATCTGGGCCCTCCCCTGGCCGGATCCAGCCTGCGGGCCTTGTATTTGATATGTCTGGATTAAACAATGAATTATTATTAATATATACCCTACTGCCCCCTGATGATCAGGAATCATGTGGTGCTGTAGAACCTTGGCATCATTGGATGTATACCTTCAACACTAAAAACTCCTAGATTAAAGAGAAAACTAAGGAAGCAGAGCTAGTGTGAACTAGACATTCATGGAGAACCCTTGTTCAGTTGTGTCTCTTCCTTCAAGAAAGACACAAACCCAACTAATACAAGATTAAGCAGAAACCTCATTGTCTGCAACAAAAGTGTAAGGTTTCCATCTTCTTGATTTTACTGATTTTGCCTCCGTTGGCTGCCTCCTCTACATCCCTAGCCCCATTTGCATGGGGACTACTGTACTGTGGGAATGATGCTAATTAGGATTTTCCTTAGACAAGATTCAGGATTAATATCCAGTGGAGTAGCAAAGCTGAAACAGCAAGAAAAGCTGCCTTCGTGAAGTCTAATCAGAAGGCGCAGATAGGTAGGAAAGTTAAATAGGTGTCCTGGACATGTGTCTTAGGAAGCAGGATGATCGATTAAAGAACCCGACATAACATGTTGCGGCTTCTTTAGATGAAAGTTATGCAATTGGATTTGGGTTCACACAAACCACAGTGTGTCTTCCTGAGTTTCTTTCAGTCGGTCAAATGCAGCTTATACAATAAGATGTGGTTCAGTGCACTAAGACATCCCACTTGTTTATAGCTTTTATGTTCCTTATTTTGAAGGTCTGACATGATGAACTGCTACAAAAAGGAATGCTTGCCTACTGCAGCAGAACACAACTTAATCCATTTAACAACTGAGGCTACACCTTGTTCACAATGGCCAGAAATTATTCTGATTCTTCTTGAATAGATTTCTTGTGGAGGAAATTTTCTTGGTTTGATCTTCTTTACTCTTTGGCTCACTTGATTCTTGTCAAAAGAAGTGAATTCATTTTAAGAATTATATTCTTCTTTCACCTGAGATTTTGAAGCAGGTGCATTGTACATGTATTCCCACAGCCATGTGATGGATAGTGTTTTGATTGCATATGCCTTTTAATTCCAATTTCCCTGTGCAGCTCTCCACAGACACCAGAAAATGGGTAGGGCCAGAGCAATGTCAGAGTGAGGAGTCAACCCTGACCTTTTTGGTGATTAGATGGACAGATCTATACTGTTTTCTTTGCAACATTTTTAGAGATGGCTTGCCAGTATCTTCTTCCTTGGATTGAGAGAGGTGTCTGGCCCAAAGTTTCCTAAATGGCTTCATGCTTAATTAGGAATGAAAACTCAGGTTTCCCCCTACTTAGTCTAGTATCTTAAATCTTTAATGCCTCTAAAAACTAACATGGATCAGATAAAATTTGGCCCATAGTATAACTGATGGTTTAAATAAGCATAGAGAAGGTCCTACCTGCACCTATATTATTGGATGCTACAAAAGCTTTTAAAATATCACCATTTGTGAATAAATTTAACATCTGGTGGAAATAAAATTCTACATAAATCCTGGCCAGCAATTACATAAATATTTTAGCTGGTTTTTCCTGGTAAACATTTTTTTAATCCAAGAAGCCTCTTCTTATTAAATACTGGTATTCAGAAAGGCTTTTTCCTCACATCTTAAGACTTGCTTGCTTATGTGTTTGTTTGTTTATTTATTTATTTGATAGATCTGTCTGCCCATCTCATCATAGCAACCCTGGATGGCTAACAGCACCTAACATTTCGACATGAGTGACTTAAAATATCCTCAGTTATTACCTGGCCACCAACGAAACTATACAAAGCCTCTCTCCATTACTGTTATTCTAGCACACAATGGCTTGTTGATCATAAAAGAAAAGAGGAGAAAAAGCACTACTTCGTGAGTCAGGAAAAGGATACCTTGATATTCCAGCAAAAATCTCATCTTACCTCTTTACTGTATTCAGTCTTGATGCCAAAGCAAAAGTAGCCCAACGCTTCCTTGACTTCAGAGGTGATACCGTAATCTGAGGCTGCCAGTGAATGGGATGCCTTCAACTGAGGAAGTACAGATATTTATAATGAACCCATGTCTGTTTAGGCAATATTTGCATTTCTAATCTGCAACAATTTGACTAAATTGCATTATGAAACAGCATATAATTATATAAACTAATTATTATAAATTCCTACATACACTGCCTATTTAATCTGGTATTATGAAGTTTAGTACATATTCAGTAGATGGCACCAAGAGCAGAATATCAAATACCTTTTTTTAATTGAAAATGCTTGGGCATAGTGCCAGTATCTCCTGAGACTGTAACCATCTTGTTTGTTTGTTTGTTTGTTTGTTCAGTTCTTATGACCTGTTATCTCAGTCAGTGATTCAGGGTGGCTTACAATTCAGAAAATACATTATGATTAAAAACTATTATGATACATTATCATAAAATACATTATGATAAAGAAATATAAAAACAACATACATGGTAAAACAGTAAAAACATGAAAAATTTCCAAATTCAACATACACAAGAGCAAATATTTGGCAAGTTAGCAATATGGCCAGTAAATGGAGCCCTTAACACATTCAGGGCTCGAGGCATGGGAACATAACCAGAAATAGTAAACACCTAGAGGTAAGCAAGTCATAACCAAAAGCCAACATGGGTTTGTCAAAAACAGATAATGCCAAATAAATCTTATTGCATTCTTTGACCAGGTGACAAAATTACTGGACCAAAGAAATGCTATGGATATAATTTACTTGGACTTCAGTAAGGCATTTGATAAAGTAGACCACAATCTACAACTTGATAAGATAGAAAAATGTGGGTTAGATAGTGTTAAGTCCTCGCATTAATGGCGAATGATGAAGACGCATGTTTTCCAGAACAACTCTTTATTGTGAATTCAGCCAAAATTCCAACAACAAGCAAAGGCACACAGGCCTCCTTTTGTACGTCCAAATCCCCGGACACAAAGGCAACATAGTCAGTACTTTTCGTGCCTTGCGCATGCGTGCAAGGCCGGCTCCACTCAGTCTGGTCCCAGGCAGCTTCTGCAAAACCTGGGAACCTTGCAACGTCCCAAGCCTGCATTTGCAGGGTCAGGACAAAACACCCCTCCCCCCTAGTTGGAACAATCCTGACACCATTCAATATCCTTCTTTGGGAAGAGTGTCATACTTCCTCACAGTCAAGCATGGAAGGGACTGCCTGAGGCTGCCTCCACCCACAAGTTCCTTTCCTTGTTTTGGCAAATGAAGATACCCAAAATCATAAGCAAAACAAAATACATTATTAACTAATGACCTTAAGGGTAGTACCCCTTGTAGCTGGACAGCAACTTCACAAAGTCTGAAAGATATTTGGGAGGGCACTTGGCCCTTTGCGACCTCCTCAGACCGTGAGATTGTGCTTGTTCCCTTTTCTTGCCCACCAAGCTGGGTGAGCCAAGACTTTGCTGCCCACTTGCCTCAGGAGACCCTGGTGTTGTTGCCTGACCTACTTGCTCACCTGCCAGGCTCCGCAGGTCAGAACTTTGCTGCCCCAAGTACCTGGTTGACCTGCCAATTTGCTGGCTGGCTGGACCCTCTGAACTCAAACCAGCATCCCTTGGAGGGGTGGTAGTCCCCAGATCCACAATGGACCTTTCCTGGGAGCACTGCCTCTCAAACCCAAGGACAGCAGATGGATAGTCAGGGGTGGCTACAGGGCCCCCGTGTCCAGTAGACCCCAAGGTCATGCCTGAGGTGCCAGAGTCAGGAGTAGCCTCACTGTTTGCCCCCCTTACAGAGGACTTCCTTCTGGGAGCAATTGCAGAATTTGGCCAGCTCCCATGCGGTGTTGCCAGTTCTCTTGCAAGATGTGAGTTGTGTGGATACCCCCGGTGTGACTCCCTGGCTGGAGTAAGTATGGGTGTGTGGGATGACCCCCTGCCCCATGACTTCCTGTTCGGAGCACTTGCGGAACCTTGAGATGAGGCACCAATGGCCTCCTCAGCAGCCAGAAACGGCTGCTGACATTGATCCCCAGAATGCACTCTATAGCCAACCTCTAGCCACTTGAAATGGCTATCAACAACAACCAGGAAGAATTACCCCTGAAAGGGCCCAGCGTAATCTATATGTACCCTAGACCATGGGGTTTGAGTTTCTTCCCACCTATGAACAGGGGCCTGAGGCATTTCAGGCCGGGACTGTTGGCACACATGACACCCATGCACCTGGGCCTCTATGTCTTTATCAAGGCCAGGCCACCCCAAATGGCTGCGCGCAAGCGCTTTCATCCTGACTATCCCAGGGTGTCCCTCATGTAGAGAGATTAAGATTCTAGACCTCAATGAGGCTGGGATTACTACCCTACTTCCCCATAATAAGCAACCCTTGAAAGTGGACAACTCATGCCTCTTTTGCCAGAAACCTTGGAACTCAGTATCAGGGCACATGTCAAGCCATCCTGACAACACCCACATAAGCATGCATGTAAGTGTGTGATCAGAGGCAGTTTCTGCAGCCACATCCCTAGCATTGAGGAGAGACGCAGGCAGCTCTTGAATGGATAGAATATTAATGGCTGGAGCAGGAGCAGGATCCAGTGTTGGCAGGGGTAATTTACTCAGAGCATCTGCATGACCCATTTCCTTTCCAGGTTTGTGAATCAATGAGTAGTCATATGCTGACAGGAAAATGGACCAACGCAGCATATGAGGAGACAGGATATGTGGAGTCTGTTTGGTAGTGGTAAACAACCCCAGCAAGGGTTTATGGTCAGTGTAGACTGTGAAGTGGCGGCCGTATATGAAATCATGAAACTTCTTAATACCAACCACAATAGCCAGTGCCTCCCTGTCAATTTCAGCATAATTACGCTCTGCAGAACACAGTGTCCTGGAATAATAGGCCACAGGGACCTGTGTCCCATCAGCCTTCAGATGGCTAAGTACTGCTCCTACCCCATATAGAGAAGCATTGCAGGCAATGCAAACAGGTAGTTGCTCATTGAAGTGAGCTAATACTGCATTAGAAGTAAGCAAGGCTTTAACCTCATTAAAACTTTTTTCATGGACTTTGGTCCACTGCCAACAGGCTTGTTTGTCTAAAAGCCTGTGCAAGGGCTCAGCTATTGCAGCTTTATTTGACATGGTAAAAGTTTAATAGCCCCAAAAAGGCTTGTAGTTCTCGCTTAGACTTAGGGTTTAGAGCCTGCTGAATAGCTTTCAATTTGGCTTCAGAAAGGTGGATGCCTTGAGCATCTATCCTGAATCCCAAAAAGTCAGTAGAATTGACTCCTATCTTACACTTGTCCTTTTTTAACGTAAGGCCTGCTCTTCTAAAACGAAGCAAGACAGCCCTCAGTCTCTCTGCCAAGTTTTGAGATGATTCTGCAGAAGAGCCTTATTGGACTCGATTGGTTCGAGGCTCTGGGAATCCAGGTCACAGGCCTGCACCATTTGCAAACGTTAAGTCTTGCGGGATTAGATGGGATCCACCTTTCTGAAGCCAAATTGAAAGCTATTCAGCAGGCTCTAAGCCCTAAATCTAAGCGAGAACTACAAGCCTTTTTGGGGCTATTAAACATTTACCATGCCAAATAAAGCTGCAATAGCTGAGCCCTTGCACAGGCTTTTAGACAAACAAGCCTGTTGGCAGTGGACCAAAGTCCATGAAAAAAGTTTCAATGAGGTTAAAGCCTTGCTTACTTCTAATGCAGTATTAGCTCACTTCAATGAGCAACTACCTGTTTGCATTGCCTGCGATGCTTCTCCATATGGGGTAGGAGCAGTACTTAGCCATCTGAAGGCTGATGGGACACAGGTCCCTGTGGCCTATTATTCCAGGACACTGTGTTCTGCAGAGCGTAATTATGCTGAAATTGACAGGGAGGCACTGGCTATTGTGGTTGGTATTAAGAAGTTTCATGATTTCATATACGGCCGCCACTTCAAGGTCTACACTGACCATAAGCCCTTGCTAGGGTTGTTTACCACTACCAAACAGACTCCACATATCCTGTCTCCTCATATGCTGCGTTGGTCCATTTTCCTGTCAGCATATGACTACTCGTTGATTCACAAACCTGGAAAGGAAATGGATCATGCAGATGCTCTGAGTAAATTACCCCTGCCAACACTGGATCCTGCTCCTGCTCCAGCTATTAATATTCTATCCATTCAAGAGTTGCCTGAGTCTCCCCTCAATGCTAGGGATGTGGCTGCAGAAATTGCCTTTGATCACACACTTACATGCATGCTTACGTGGGTGTTGTCAGGATGGCCTGACATGTGCCCTATACTGAGTTCCAAGGTTTCTGGCAAAAGAGGCATGAGTTGTCCACTTTCAAGGGTTGCTTATTATGGGGAAGTAGGGTAGTAATCCCAGCCTTATTGAGGTCTAGAATCTTAATCTCTCTACATGAGGGACACCCTGGGATAGTCAGGATGAAAGCGCTTGCGCGCAGCCGTTTGTGGTGGCCTAGCCTTGATAAAGACATCGAGGTCCAGGTGCATGGGTGTCATGTGTGCCAACAGTCCCGGCCTGAAATGCCTCAGGCCCCTGTTCATAGGTTGAAAGAAACTCAAATCCCATGGTCTAGGGTACATATAGATTACGCTGGGCCCTTTCAGGAGCAATTCTTCCTGGTTGTTGTTGATAGCCATTCCAAATAGCTAGAGGTTGTTCCTGTGTCCTCCACTACTACTGCCAAGACTATCCAGGTGCTGAGAGATATTTTTGCAGCTCATGGACTTTCAGATGTTCTGGTTTCAGATAATGGTCCTCTATTTACCTCTTCTGAGTTCCAGGCTTTTCTTCAGGCCAACCTGATCTGCCATGAAACTTCGGCTCCCTTCCACCCATCCACCAACGGAATGGCTGAGCGTATAGTGCGCACCACCAATGATGCCCTCAAGAGACTGGCTTATGGTGACTGGCATCACAGGTTAGCAAACTTTCTTCTTGCACATCGCACTACACCTTGCACAGCCACCAGGAAGAGCCCCGCTGAACTTCGATGGGGTCGCCGGCTTATCACTAAGCTGGACAGGCTGCACCC